TCACCCTTTTTTTTGGGCTAAATTTTTTTTTTTTTTCCAGTCACTGAAGAACAAGTGAAGTGTATCAGGTCACTGTGACTCCCAGTCACTGAAGAACAAGTGAAGTGTATCAGGTCACTGTGACTCCCAGTCACTGAAGAACAAGTGAAGTGTATCAGGTTACTGTGACTCCCAACCATCCAAATATTTCTGGCCATAGGTTCAGCTCTGCTGTAGAAACATTGTTCTGGTTAAAGTTCTTGAAGATACTGACGAGTGAGATATCTTCTATGTTTAGTCATCTTTGTGAACCAGCAGTGCACCATTCCAGTTGAAGAAGTGGTTGTGGGAGGTACAGTGTACTGCACAGGCAGTGTTATAGTCGTGCTTATTGCTGGCGTATTGTTTTCTGTGAATTGTCTCAGCTGCGTAGGTTAGGTCACAGTCGTTGCACGAGTGTGTTTACGCCTGTAGTAGTTATGTCGGTGGTGTTTCTCTCTGGTGATCTCCCTTGCAGTAGAGGTAATGGTGAGAAGGCAGCACATCGTCGGTACTAGTCAATACTAGACTTGGGTACACAAGGCAGCACAACGTCGGTACTAGTCAGTACTAGACCTGGGTACAAAGGGCAATATGCTGTCAGTACTAGAAGCCGGAACAGAATACTAGACTTGGAGTTGACTAGAAAGGAAGAGGGAGTTGCTAACATAAATAATTTAAACCCATTTAGCAAGAAATGAAGCAGAAGCAGAAAGACAGTGAGTGAGAACTTCACTCCTAGAGAGAGAGACAGGAGGAGGTGTATCTTCTTAAATCGCTTGACCAAGAAAAGGCTGTGGGCCCAGACAAGCTGAGCCCAAGACTGCTGAGATGTGCAGACCAGCTAGCAGCACCTCTAACTCGCATCTTTCAGCACTGCCTAGTACAGTGTAAATAACCTTTTCTGTGGAAAGGGGCACATGTAGTCACTACAGACCAGTGTCACTCCTGTCAATTACTTGCAAGATCTTTGAGACAATAATCTCAA